AAAATGAACACAAATGAACAATGAAAACAATACAATGAAACTTTGGGAAAGGTGGATTTATGGTGACAATGTAGAATTAAAAGGTTCTTCACACCTCCCTTGGACTCTGTTTGCACCTCCCCAAGGAAGGTACACCTCACAGTTTGGGAAACCCTGATGTAGAGGCATCCTCGCATTTTGTTTTTCTGACAGCTTGTTCCAAAAGCAAGAAGCCTCACTTGGGTAACTCCAGATAAAGAAAGGAATTAAGAGAGAAAACATGCTTTTGACTCAAGCTTGACAGCTTCCGTAAGATCATGGACACGGACACACAATTTTCCTGACCACAACAGACTTCTTTTACAGAACCTACCAATGTTGGGATATACCTCTGGAGGATTCATTCAGCATGGAAACGTCCAGAGCAAGGCCATCAGATGCAAACCCTATTCTTCCCAGCTTCTGTTTCTTCCTATTTGAACACCTGCACAGATTTGTTCCAGTTTAGACATGGCTTTTATTAATTCCTTCCTTCTGTCTCTTTGGATAGAAAACATACCTTCTTTGTCTTCTCCTGGCTTGTATTAATTGGAGGTTTTCAACCTATGCCTTCATTGCCTTCATTCATCTGTTTTTGATCATTCCTTTCCTTGAGTCAGTCTGATGTTGGTTAGTTTCACATACCATGGTAAATCATGGTTTGTTTTGGTTTCTGGAATAAATCAGAGTGTCTGGATTCCTACAACATGCTAAGCTGAAACCAAGCAACTACACTGTGGATTAGCAAATTGTATGAATCCCATCAATGTTGTAGAATAAGTGGCTGGTTGATGACAAGATAGTTGTTTTAAATTGGATAGACAAAAGGGATTCTGATAGGAAAGAAAAGATATGTGTGGCAAATTTTTATCTTTGAAAGCCTATTATTTGCATCCTGACTTTTATTCCTCAAGTCCAGGTTCTCAGCCACCTGCTTCATTCTTCTGATACCTGTTCAGCCACTTTCATACTGTATCTTCTAATATGTGAGCTTCTGGCCCTGGACTTCCCATTTTGCTCCATTCTTGATTTGTTTTGCTGGTCGGACCTGTTTTTGGCATGAGCTGGGTCACACGTTTTAAGTATTACTCTGAGTTTCTGTGCTCCTGGGCCTAATTGTGCAATGAAGCCTGTTCAGTCCTGAGCTGGCTCTTGCCAACTCTCCCTGTGCTTTGCTTCCTTGTGAAAGGGGCTCAACTACAGGGAAAGAATTTCAATCTATTCTTGGCACCTCAGTGTTATTTTCTTCTTATATCAAGCCCACAATCAAATATTTGTTGAGCGCACAGTGTGCTCAGTGAAGGTTACATAATTAAGCAAATAGATGTCCTTTTCGTGTGTCCAGAGCTACATTCTTTGGATCATTTCTTCCAATGAAAACATCAGAAAAGCATTACATGCATAGAATCTCATAGGGGTTATTTTATTGCAAAGTAAATAGTACAATAGAAGAAATCAACAATGTAACACTGTTGTATAACAAAGTAATTTAAAAAGTAATTAAGTTTGGTTTTATTCTATTTTTCCTGTATTTTTATATTGTTTTTATTGTATTTTAATTAATATTTATTGTTGTTTTATTGTGAACCGCCCAGAGTCACTGTTTTGTGAGATGGGCGGTATCTAAATTTGAAATATAAATAAAATAAAAATTTAAAAAGTAATTAAGTTTGGTTTTATTCTATTTTTCCTGTATTTTTATATTGTTTTTATTGTTTTTTCCTGTATTTTTATATTGTTTTTATTGTTTTTTCCTGTATTTTTATATTGTTTTTATTGTTTTTTCCTGTATTTTTATATTGTTTTTATTGTATTTTAATTAATATTTATTGTTGTTTTATTGTGAACCGCCCAGAGTCACTGTTTTGTGAGATGGGCGGTATCTAAATTTGAAATATAAATAAAATAAAAATAAATTAATTAATTAAAGTCTACATTTTACTGGATAATTTTTAATCCAATTTCTAAAATTGAACAAAGGCAAGGAGATATCTGGGCCAGGTGTTGCACAACTGGAGCATCTCTTTAAAAATCCCTTTCTTCCAAGGTGTATATCCTGCCCTAAACAAGCTGAGATTTCAGCCAAAAATTGAAATGTGCCTCACTCAGTGACAGCTCAAGCTCTATCCCTTGTGTACTTGTGTGTGACACAATAAAAGGGGCATGGTTTGCATTGCAGTCACATCTGAGCTACTTTTTTGTCATGGAAGTTTAATGTCAATTTTACAAGCTAGGTCTTGCCTGAAAATATCTGAGAACTGGTATTAAACACACCTTAATATAACACTTAAGGCCCATTGTTTTCTGGACAGATAATCCAAGCTAGTCTCAGACTCTGCCTTCATGATTGAAATCTATTAATTAGGCTTATCAGATCTAGGCTGCAAATGGAGTGGTCATCTGGTTTTTGCAACCCAGATCTGGTAGCCCTAAATTCATGAAATTGGCTTATTCTTGTCCCATACCCTTGTTTTTCCATACCCCTGCTAGCAAATAAGGTGGTGATAGCAATCATGGCAATTTTCCACCTCTGTGGGAGACAGACAAGCACAAATTCTGCCAATAGCTTTGAGAAAGAAAACCACACCAAACGGGATTATAAAATATAACCCTGTTGCAGTATAAATTTTGAAAGCTATTTGAAAAGTAGGCAGTCAACTGCTAAAGGTGCTGTAGCATATAGGGTGATTTGATCTGGGTTACAAAAATCTGGTAACCCCCAAATGGCACAAGAAATATACAGAAAATGGTAACTCTCTGTAGCCATCTAGTGGTTCTCTTGAGTTTTGCAACCCAGATCTGGTGACTCTAGTACTGCAGACAAAACTTAAATGGCTGGTTCCCATATGCACAATCATCGGTAGCTGTCTCTAACAAATAGCAAGGAAAAAAAAGTTTTATTTCCACTTGCAGCAATGTAGAACTTGTAAGCAATCTGCTTTCCCATTGGTAGGTACATACCTTGACCTGCTCTTGGGCTTCAGCAGATGGATCATTTTGTTCACAGGTTCTTAAAGGGGAAAGGAGTGTTGATGGCATTACGGATCTGTCTTCACAGCAACTGTTCAGATTTGTTTTTCATTTGGTCTACTACAGCGTTTTGCAAACTTGGCAACTTTAAAATGTGTGGACTTTTAAAATGCTGGCTGGGGAGTTCTGGGAGTTGAAGTCCACACATCTTAAAGTTGCCAAGTTTGAAAAACACTGCTCTCCTAGATCTTGGCTGCGAAAATTCGAACCATCCCTAGATGCAGCAAAGAGACCCAGAAGATTGTGAGGACAAAGTCCTCAAGATTTTGCTGCATCTGCTCTCTGCTGCCCCTCCTAGTCCGCTTGAGGTTTGTACCCCAATTCTGCTCACCTTACAGTATTTGAATACCATGAGATAAATGCACACTACCCTGCTGATGCCACTTTAAAATGCAACTATTGCCACTCTCTCCCCACCCTGCATCCCATGACCCAGTCATTCAAAAAACCCAAACCCTCAGGCAATAGCCTGGGGCTTTCCAATTGGCTTGTCCCCCACCAGTGAAAAAGGAGAAACAGAACTTTCATCAAATTCATCCCAGCTCTTTTGCTGGGGCTACTCTAAACTGATATCAATTCTCCCTTATTATTATTATTACAGCAGGGGATAGGTAACTGCAAACTGTCTTATGGATGTTTTGTGTGTGTGTGTGTATACAAGCACTAGCAACTCTTTCTTTTCCTTTTGTATGGGGTGAGATGGGGACAATTTGTCCTATCCCAGGATTTGCTCACAACCTTCAGCATCTTATTCATAATGTTTGCCTTGTAAGAATTATTTTGGGGCTGTACAGCAATCTGGATTCCAAAGGGAAAAAGTGATTCAGAGCAGAGAGTGACTCCCCTGATAGCTCCTGAAAGAGGCTACATGCAAACCCAAGGAAAATACCCACTAGATTTAAGAAGATGCTGACTCGTCTAACAATCACATTTCCCCTTGGAAACAGGAACACTACATAGTCCTATTCTTTGCAATACTGTATATCTCCCTCACTCCTGCACTCCAGTTGCCCAGCACAACATACAGTCATGGCAGCAGCAAATGGAAAAATGCCTGGATGTGAAATGGGCTTCAAAGCTATCCAGCTATGTGGCTGCCACTGCCCAATCGGTGTGACATACGTAAAAAAGGGGCAGGGCTTGGATCACATGGTCAGGGCAGCCAACTTCTACCTTTCCTGCAGACATCTCTGAAGCTACCCTTTTATTGCATGGCTGTTTTTGTGGGTTGCATTTCTTTACATGGCCAGGCAATACATACAACATATTCTGAAAACGTCCATTGGCAGAGGAAGCTAGCAATT